CCGCCGCAAGTCCTGGCTGGTGCCCACGCAGTACGTCCTGGGGCTCTTCATGATCTACATGTCCACCCAGGTGGAGCTGCTGCTGGGCGACGGGGAGGGCCGGGGCCCCGACGTGGTGGCCTTGACTGTGACTTTCTTCCTCTTCGAGTTCCTGGCAGCGACGCAGGACATTGCGGTGGACGGCTGGGCCCTGACCATGCTGTCCAGGGAGAACGTGGGCTATGCCTCCACCTGCAACTCCGTGGGCCAGACAGCCGGCTACTTCCTGGGCAACGTCCTCTTCCTGGCCCTGGAGTCGCCCTCCTTCTGCAACAAGTACCTACGGTTCCAGCCCCAGCCCCAGGGGATTGTCACCCTCGCAGGTACTGTTGGGATCACAGAACCCCAGACTGGTTTGGGTTGGAAGGGACCTTAAAGCTCATCCAGTCCCAACCCCCCTGCCAGCAGCAGGGACACCTTCCACTTGACCAGGTTGCTCAAAGCCTCATCCACCCTGGCTTTGATGGGATGGGGATGCTTCTGGACGGAAGCTCTTGTTCAGAGGGAGCGGTGGTTTGGTGCTGTGAACGAGCAGGTTTGGATTGTCCCCTGCCCATGAGGAAGCACAGCCTGCCAGGAGGTTGGCAGAGTCCACTGCTACGGGCACTGAATTCCAGGCTTCTCTGGGCTTAAGAGTTTGGGAAACCTGCCTTGTCATTATCTTGGCTGACCAAGCGTAAGCACTCTGCAGAGACTTTCCCCCCCTCCCTAGTTTAATGGCCATGGAATAGATTATTGCTTAAAAAAACCCCAAACAAACCAAAAGCTTTGCCTCTTTTTAAGGAGGCCTTTTAAGAACATCTCCTTCTGGGAGGAAGGGAGGGGGAAATTAAAAAAGATATTGGCTCTTCCAAGATGTTATTTTGCACAGAAATAGAAATTACAATAGTGTTCAGGGTTGACTACTTAGCCAATTTCTGAAGAAAGGCCTTATTTTAGTAAATTAAGGCGGTTTTATTTTTTCTTTAATGAATTAAGTGGAGTCTGGTAATCCAATCATAACTAGCTGTTAGTGTAGAGATGTATTCTGTTGGGTGATTTTTGGGTTGCTTGGGGTTTTTTTCTTTCCAGAAAGGTTATATGTGGTGGTTGATGTTAGACCTGTTACCTAGAAGATGCTTACAGTGCCCATGTTTTGGTTGCAAGGGTGAGTGTAGCCAGCTGGAGGACAGGAGAAGCTGCCACCACTGCTGGTTGCAGTCTCAAAGTGACCCTGGGTAGCAGTGAAGGGTAAATCCTCATGCCTTTAGTTTTCTTGCCCTCTCTCACGTTGATTGCTCTGCCTGTATCCTGTAAGAGAAGAGGTATGCCAACATGGAGGTGAATTGTTGTTTAAAGGCTGGTTTTTGCTCTCTGTCCTGTACCTGTCCTACTGATAAATCAGGATATCTGTTTCCAAGACTGCTGTGCTTACTTTGTCTGTGCAGCTATCACAATTGCTCACCAGTTTTCCTCTTTCCTTCCTGTTGTTAACCCTGTGTCTGGTCTCTGTGTAAACGAGCACAGAGGAGTCCTCAGAGTAACCCTGCTGGTTTATTGCTTTCCTTTTTTTCTCTCCTTACTGTGTAGTTCATCAGTGCTGGCGTGTCTCTTCCCTCTTGCTCCAGCAGCAGACTGACGTCTCCTACTGCTGATGCAACTTGCAAGTCACTAGTGTAGTTAGGAGAGCTTGGTTTGGCTGTACTTACCTCCACTGTCCAGGTTCTTTGTTGTTTTGGTTTGTTTTTTTCCTCAGTACTGTTTGTATAAATGGATTTGCTAATATTACAAGAGTACTGTCTTTGAAAAAAGAAATTATCCCAAAACAAAACCAAACAAAACCAACACCAAAAACAGTGCAACCTGTTTAACTTGTCCTGGAGTACTGAGTAAGAAAATCAAATAGCTCTGACACTGTAGTTGCAGGATATGTTTTTTTGGGTGATAAAACTGGCTGCAAGTAATTTCTGTGCCCTCGTTCCTGTGACCGTGCGCCTGAGTTTGCTGCACCCGCATTTCTCCTGAGGCAGCTGCAGAGCAGGACTGTATCCCTGCTCACTGAGACAAGGAGAGCAGCTCTTTGCTGGTTGTAACAGGGCTGGTGCCGAGCTGGTTTGGGCAGCTAAAGCAGCAGCAAACTTCCCAGTTTGAAAAGGTGACTGGTTTTCTGCTAGCTCAGATCTCTGAGCGCTTTTGTTGTAGCCTGAGCACTGACGCTGGGGAAAGAGCAAGTCAACACTCGATGATCCCAAGTCAAGCTCAAGCTGTTGAGAAGCAGCAGCCTTAGTTATCTGTGATGCAGTCACACGTGTGCCTGTCCCAGCGTGAAGGAAGAGAGGTGAAGCACCAGGGCAGGAAGGAGCTGCCCAAACTCCCAGGGCCAGTGCCTGTGGAACACTCTTGTTCCTGGGGTGGGAGGGAGGGATGTGTAGCTGTAGAATTACTCAAAGCTGGTGTGATGAAACCCCCGTCCCCCCACACACACCTCGCTGGTGGGTGCTTCCCAGCCTGCTCTGTCCCTGATCTGGTTCAGACTTTGCTTTGCCCTGACACAATGGTTTGTTTTGCTGTCATGATAGTACAGAGGCAGAGACAAAACAGGGATGGGGCTGGGCAGCACTGGTGGCACAAGAAACTCTGCTAGAAGTCCTTGTGGAAATTCTCATTGTAAAGTTATTTTGCCTGTAGCCTGTTAGGGGACTTTCCTGTATTTGGAAGGACATGTGTAAACTGCCTACAACCAGAAAAACTTTTTTTATTATTATTTATTTTAATCTGGACTATTATATATGGCTTTATATTTTCTTTTGGGGGTTTTTTTTGGTGGTTTTTGTTGTTGTTGCTAAGCCAGCCGTTGCATCGCTGTACTGCAGCTGGCAGAGCTCACCTGACCAGCAGCATTCATGCCCTGATGCTCAAAGCTATTTCTGTTCCCATCCTCACTGCAGTGATGATGCTTCGTGCTATTATTAGAGTCCCAGCCCTATGTGTCTTTTGGTAGACAGTAGCTGTGATTAGCATGACTCTCTGAAAACTCATCTTTTGCTTAAAACTAGGTGTTTGGGATACCTTTTTTTAACAGGAGAAGGAGCAGGCTGACAGCATTGCTTAGGAGATCTTTTCTGTAGGAAAGGGAAAAGTAACTGATGTGGAAGCAGCAGAAAATGGTTTGAAATGCCTTTTTTCTTTTACACAGAGAATGTTAGGCTATAGCTGAAGGAGTCTTCCCCTGTTTTATTCCATGCTGCTTGTGCTCGCTCTTCCTGGGCATGAGGCAGCTAATCATTGCCTAAACCTTTGCACCGGCTTTGCCCTTTCACCAGCCCTCACTGCTCACTTTCCAGTCACCACGAGGCTTCTGGAGTTGCTCACAACCAGGAAGATAAAAGGCTATTTCTGTCTTACCCTCTAGTTCCTTATTTCCTCTTTCATGAAGGTAGAGGACAGGATTATCTGAGATTAATCCATTCACTAGCTCAAAAAGTTCTTGGTGTGTTTTTACTGTTGCTGCCTCCAAATCCACAGTTTAGCAAATATTATATCTGCTTAAAATACATGATGGGTGCTAGAAAGATTTTAATTTTTTTCTCTTTTTTTTTTGCCCCTCCAGATTTCCTGTTTTTCTGGGGAGCTGTCTTTTTAATTACCACTACACTAGTCGCCCTTTTCAAAAAGGAAAACAAGGAGCTAACGCCAACAAAAGAAGAAACTAAAGGCATCACTGATACCTACAGGCTGCTGTTCTCAATAATCAAGATGCCAGCAGTTCTTACTTTCTGTCTCTTAATTCTCACAGCAAAAGTAAGTAAATACACACATGAATTGTTAGATGCTGCTGATGTCAGAGTCTGGAAGGTTGCTGAGTCCCCGTGATGTCACTTATTTCTTAGTTTTGCTAGTGGTTGTCACCAGAGTTCTGAATTTTCTCATTAAAGTTGAAGCAGAATTGCTTATCTCATCGTGCTGAGCAGAGTTGTACAGCAGAAAACATCTGTTTGAGCTTTTACAGAAACATTAAAGGGAATTTTGATTGCAATCTGGTATTAATTGGGTTGTAAAGGTTTTTAAACAGGCCGTTGTGTTGTGTGCAGTTAAAAGTACAGAAAAGGCTTCCTTTAACCTAAATGCTGCTCCCAGAATCTGCAGCTCTGTACAAACCCGGTTTCCATGGATCCTTGTTGGCCCTTGTGGGTACTGACAGCAATTAAAGCATGAGCATGAATGTCGTTGCCATGTGTAATGTCCTTGGTATAACATTGGCACTGATGGCCAGGAGAGTGTGCAAGTGCAGAACGTGTTTCAGAACAGTTCAGGAAATCAAATGAAACACAGAAGTGAATGGTGCTCTGTCCCATTTCTCTATTTACTTAATCTGAGTAACCTGAATTTCCAGCCAATCTGTCACTGCCTTCCCCAGTTTATTTTGTCCAACTTACATTGCAGGTTGGATTTTCAGCAGCAGATGCTGTAACAGGACTCAAACTGGTGGAAGAGGGCGTCCCAAAAGAGCACTTGGCCCTGCTGGCGGTTCCAATGGTTCCTTTACAGATAATATTGCCCCTGATTATCAGCAAATACACAGCAGGCCCCCAGCCACTCAACACCTTTTACAAAGCCATGCCTTTCAGGTAAAAACCAACCTTGTTTGACAGAAACACAGTAATTTGTGTGTTCAGATCAAGTGTCTTGTGTAACTCTCTGACTTCCAGATCCAAGAAAGTGTGTCAGGATTCTCATGGTGAGTTGAACTCTGTGTCTTGTGCCTTGAAAGTGATTCATACTGTAACACATGTGAGAAAGCGGGACGTGGGGTGTTTTGAAGGTGCACACACAACAGAGTCTGGAGCACAAGTGTGCTGAGTTCCCTTGTGGCTGAGGGAAGTGGGGGTGTTGAGCCTGGAGAAAAGGAGGCTGAGGGGAGACCTTGTGGCTCTGTGCAAGTCCCTTGGAGGAGGGTGGAGAGAGGTGGGGGTGGGTCTGTTCAACCAAGGCCCAAGGGACAGGACAAGAGGAAATGGGCTCCAGTTGTGGCCAGGGCAGTTGAGATGGGATGTGAGGAAGAATTTCTTTGCTGCAAGGGTTCTGAGGCATTGGAAGGGGTTGGCCAGGGCAGTGGTGGAGTCCCCATCCCTGGAGGGATTTAACAGATGGGTAGATGAGGTGCTCAGAGATCTGGTTTAGCAGTGGACAGGTATGGTTGGACTCGATGATCTCAAAGGTCTTTTCCAACCAAATGATTCAATGATTTTGCATTGAATTTTAAGCATTAAGCATTTTCTACAGGAGTTTGCTTATAGAATCTGAAACCCAGTGAATCCAGCTAATGACCCGATGCTGTTACAGTCAATCATGTAACACATTTGTTACAGGTCACTGTTACTTTAATGTTTTCTTGTGCAACTGTGTATGTTTTCACCAGAAAAAAAAGAAAAAGAGAATCTGTTGCTGTGGCTGAATTTTGTTGGATGATCTTGTGTGTTGCTTTCCACAAAAATAAATGTCTGTGTGAAGGGGCAGGGGAGAAAGCTCCTGTAGGAGACAGGAGACCTGCCAGTGAGTTATGTTTATTTGGAAGACAAGAATTGTTTAGGTACAAAAACCTTACAATTTCAGTGCCTGTCAAATATTTAATATCTAATTCTGCCTAAGATATTCCATCTAAGATAGAATTAGTTTAAACTATTTAGATATAAGCTGTATGCACAAATGTTCGATGGTTGCTTTGCATCAAGGAAAGACATGGGAAGAATTCCTTAAGTTACAAATTCTCTTTCTTATTCCTCTAGATTACTGCTTGGTCTGGAATTTGCTTTTTTGGTGTGGTGGACTCCTCAAGTAAAGCACGAAGGAGGATTTCCTGTCTACTACTATGTTGTAGTATTGTTGAGTTATGCTTTACACCAGGTAACGTGGGAAGGGGAGGGGGACAGGGGGTATTTCATATACAAGAGGACTATAAATGCCATTATCTGCTTTTGTCCTTACACCAGAATTCCTCTAAGTCTGCCCTGTGTGCTGTATATTTACTTTCAATGCTCTTGCCAATGTTATTTCTCCCTCTTCCATGTGTTCCATTGAACATATTATATGAAATTGCGTTTAGTTGATGACATCTGCTTTTGTTTCCCAGTTTGGTGAGGGTTTTTTGGGTTTTGTTTTGGTTTTTTTTTCCCCAAACCAGAAGCTCAAAAGCCTGGTGGAGCTGGAGAAATGAGGCTTTGAACAACCTGGTCTAGTGGAAGGTGTCCCTGCTGCTGGCAGGGGGGTTGGAACTGGATGAGCTTTAAGGTCCCTTCCAACCCAAACCATTCTGTGATTCTAAATCCCAGCATTCTGACTGAGTTTCATAGGCATGATGATGATGATGCTGCTGCTGCTTATTGTGCAGATCTATAAAGTTATATGATCCTGATCATAGAAAAAATACTTCATTGCTTTTGGAGGAACCTCATAATGGAGCTGATCCAAGGGCTGGAAAACAAACACCTGATACACACGGGGCTTTGGATCAGAACTAAAATGTATGCAATGCCTTGAGAGTCGATTTTAACACAAAAGTGTTATTTTTAGGGGCTGTTTTAGCTGGCCTTATATTTTAGTTTGATAACTGGAGTCACAATGCACGTGAGACTGGGTCCATTTCAGCATGACGTGAGACAAGCAGCGAGGCTACCTCTTAGTGTTTCATAGAATCCCAGACTGGTTTGGGTTGGAAGGGACCTTAAAGCTCATCCAGTCCCAACCCCCCTGCCAGCAGCAGGGACACCTTCCACTAGACCAGGTTGCTCAAAGCCTCATCCAGCCTGGCCGAGAACACTTCCAGGGAGGAGCAGCCCCAGCTTCTCTGGCCAACCTGTTCCAGTGTCTCACCACCCTCAGCAGCAGTAAATCTGCAATTTTAACCTGTTGGGATTATTTTTCAGTTGATGTTGCTGACTGCAAGTAATCTCTTAGATCAGCTTTCCTGTGAGCAGTTTTAATTGTCATTGTGACCAGGGAGACCTTACTGTCCTCTGGGTGTTCTCGCCCCTTCCGTAGATCACGCTGTACAGCATGTACGTGGCGATCATGGCTTTCAACGCCAAGGTCAGCGACCCGCTGATCGGAGGGACCTACATGACGCTGCTCAACACGGTGTCGAACCTGGGAGGGAACTGGCCTTCCACCGTGGCACTCTGGCTCGTGGACCCACTGACGGTGAAAGAGGGTGCGGGGGCCCAGGAACAGACCTGCGGAACCACGGCTGCTGCAGAAGTAAGTTCTGGAGGCTGCAGAGGTCTCTGTTCCATTATTTATTGATTAAATGGCTTCTCTCTGTATAGTTCTCACCTTTGAAAACCTTCATAGTGCATAGCTTATGCTTAAAATTTCCCACTAAGCTGGTTTTCCTGCCTGATGAAATTGGTTTTATCTCAGTAACTGACATCTTCACCAAGGATTTGCAGGTGCAGAGTAATTGTCTGTTTCTCCCCGGGCTGGGATGAAAAGCTGGGGGTAGAAGCGCTAGATGGGTTCTGAGCACCGTTCTCTGCGGTGGCAGGAGGCTGCAGTCACATTTTTGAGAGTGAACCTTGCTTAGTTCAGAGCTGGGTCACGAGGTGCTCTGTTCTTGACAAGCTGTCTGACCCCCGAGTTCCTTAGGTTTTGGTTTTGTTTATTCTGTCTTCCCGGAGGCTCCTTATCTGAGTACCTTGGTACCTGCTCCTGTGGTGTGACGTTGCTCTCTGTCTTTCCTCTTCACTTTCCATATGAAATTGATGGTGTGACTGGCTGCCTTCCCAGTTCTGGGGAGCCCTGTGGAAGAGAACAAAGAACACACTGTGCTGCTGGGCACAGATCAAACAACAGGACGTAAAACTGCCCGGAAAGCAAGGTTTCAAATTCACCTCCTCCTGGGCACATGAGACATTTAAACGTGACTGTTTGGAAGGGTGGAAATGTTTGGGGGGTTTTTTTTGTTGGGTTTTTCTTTTTCCCTTACTCATGACTGAGATTTATTTCACTCTTGAATGCCAGGACTCTCTGGGATGCAGAGGTTCTCTGAATAAACCAAGTGTTCCAGAAGTCAAACATGAGGTGTTGGAACTGGAGTTGCAGTTTTCACTGGTTGCAGAGGGGCAGGACAGCTGCTCTGCCTGCCTCTCATTGCCCTGCCACGGCTCCCTGTGCCCGCCCCTCTATTGAACACAGGTCCTTCCCCCTTCACCTCACTCCTCTGATCTTTTCTCACATCCTCCCAGTTGGTAACGTTCCACCACCACTCCCTTCTGATGCCTAATCTGATCTTGACGTGTCTCAGAATCATGAAAATGCTGGCAGCACCTCAGCTCAGCAGATTGATTTATTTTGGGATTACAGCAGTGTGGAAAGGTGAACAACAGCAGAAACCATCGTGTGCTGAACGTTCAACCTTTACATGCCAGAGTTGTGTCTCCCAGTTCTGCAGTGATAAACACCCTAGGCATGCTTTTCCCAGAAATAAGTTTTCAGATTCAGTGTGGTGAGATGCAACAATATAATTTCTAAAGAAGCTGTTTGGATGGCTAGAAAAAAAAATAATGATCTTTTTTCATGGGATTAAGAGCAGCACTTGTACCTCCAGGCTGGACAGAGACAGCTGGGCAGTTCCTGTTGTTTGAGTTAACGCCTTGGGGCAATATCCCCATTTCCCAGGTGTTTTATAACAGTTTTGTTAGTTGTGCTGATGGTAAGCTTGCAAGCCTCTCTTAGTAACTCTGTAAGAAACAAGGAAGAGTGAACAAAGACATGTAGTCATAACCAAGGGCAAGAGAAAGACAGTGGCTGTGTAACACCTGCTTTTAGAGGTCGATGTTTCTAAATCTCCCAGAGAATATTTGATGCATCGACTCCTGCTTCTCTGTTGCAGCTCTGCACAAAAGCCGGTGGCTCCTGCGTTACCACCTTGGACGGTTACTACGTGGAATCTGTCATCTGTGTCATTCTGGGATTTGGCTGGTGGTTCCTACTTGGGCCGAAATTTAAGAAGCTGCAGGACGAAGGACAGTCTTCCTGGAAGTGCAAGAGGACCAATTGATGCGGTTTGAATGTTGGATGGACTAGCAAGGTCGTTTTAGTTTTATTACAAAGACATATCCCATAATCAATAAACTGGAATGTAGGTACTTTTAAATGCCACATCACTGAAAAAAAAAAGGGTGGCTGAGTCAGTGGTATGTTTGTATGTGATACCACCTGCCCTCCCAGGATGAACACGTACATTCAGAACAGCACTGTTGGAAAATGGCACCTCTGTAACTGCATCCATGTCCCCGAGCTCTGGCTTCAGAGTGGCGGCTGCTGGTGTAACCGACGTCTGCATCTCCACATCCTAACGATGGAAACGCTAATTGTGCCGTGTCTGTCTCAACAGCAGCACTGTCAGCCACCTTCCAGCTCTTTAATTTCAAACAGCAACGATCTGACACGGGGAGCTGACCCGGGGAAGGATGTTCACAGGCGTTTGGACCAGTAGGTTAAGTGTGTGGTACGACAGCATTCCTTGTGGGAAGATACATGTCAAATGTCCCTGGGCTTTGTTTCTTCTCGCTTTCTGAACTGTAACCACATCTCAAAGGATGAAATGTTTCAGAGATTCTTTTAAATGTATTTTCTGGCTTTTATAAGCTTTAAAGATTTATAGGAAAATATTTTTATAAACAAATTACATTTGTTTAATTTATTTCTGCTGTTTCAAAGCATTTTGATTTGCATTCAAAGTACTTTCTTGATGAAAAAATTGCTGTAAGGTAGGACTTAAAAGTAACGCACAATATTCTCAGCCTTGAGTCCTGAAGATGTAAACTGGAGAGTGCAGCAGCTAGCACAACAAAGCCGGGCTTCGGCAGGAGAGGGCACGCAGGCCTTGGCAGGGCGGGTGTTACTCTGAGGGAATGAATTGATAGTGTTGGTTCCTCCATGTCACTAAAATTCGAATATTCAGTTTCAAAATTGATGGAAAAAAAAAATGTGGCCATTCCCAGCCAGGGGTACAAAAAGATGCTCAGTGCCTTTGAAAGCGATTCGGTGATGCCAAACTTGCCAAATTCCCAGTGAGTTGGTGTACGACTCGCTGTCACGTACATCAGAGACGCGCAGTCCTGTGGCAGAGCTGCTGCAGAAACCGCTGACCGATGCTGTGTAGTGGAAACATTCCCGTGGCGTTTGTCAGAAGTGACTTCCCTCCCGAGTGCCTTAGTGATGTACAGAAGCACACTGCAGGCCTGGAGAGCAGGCACGTGGACCTTGTTGGATGTATATGGTACATCGTTATAAAAAAGAAAACTATTAAAAATACCTTTGAAAGGTACGTGATTTCCTTTGCATTCTGTGTTTCTCGCCTTGTCAATGGTGGAATTACTGAGTCCTGAACTTGGAGTTGCTCAAAGCCTCATCCAACCTGGCCTTGAACACTGGCAGGGAGGAGCAGCCACAGCTTCTCTGGCCAACCTGGGCCCGGGGCTCACCACCCTCACAACAAAGAATTTCTTCCTCGTGAAATGGAAGACTTGTGTGAACGTGAATCTGGTTTTGTACCAGTGTCAGATGATGTTCTTAGAGTGCCCATATTTCTTCAAAGCCCATATATCTCTGTCTATAAAGACACAGATTTCTTTCTATATAAAGACCATGTATCTGGGCACTTGATTCAGCCGAGGGAAGTGGCTGGCTGGAGCCTTTTGCTAATAAATGACAAATATTTGTTAATTTTGAACTAAGGGAAAAGAAGAAAAGAACCAAGGGCACCAATGGATCCGGGAACGTTCTGGAGTTGTTTTTTCTCTTAAGCCGGTGCAACAAGGGAGCTGCCCCGGCGCACGTTTCAGCGGGTGGGAGCGGGAGTGTGACAGGTTTGGAAGGGTCCGGTTTGGATGCGAACCGGGCCGAGGGCGGCACCGGTAACGGGGACCAGGCACCGGTAACGGGGACCGGTTGAGTGCCGGAGCGGCACCGCGCCCGCCTTCGAGAGCGGGTCACAGCCGGCTGCGGGGCCTGGCCC